AATTATGATCTAAAGGGTATCAAAATTTACAAAAAGCTTAATATCTATTTGTTTACTTTATTAAATATTTCTTTCAATGTAAGTTGTTTAAGTTGCTTCGTTTTATGTGATAATACTTTTCCTTTCATTCTATAAACAGTCATAATTTCTTCTTCAATTACAAAGTTCCGCTGTTCAACTCCTATAATTGCTGTGTTGAGAACACCGACTAATTTTTCAATCGAAATTTTTTTCGTTTTCAATAACCTCTGTGTCACTTTCTTCACTATCGGAAGCGAATTATAATGACGAGGAATTTGATTTAAGTCATATCAAAGACAGAGTACATCGAGATAAAATACTACATCTAGTAAGGAATTATAAGCCAAATAAAATAAAAACATCTGCTCTGAAGATAGGGATAGAGCTGACAGATCAACTTCCAATTCATTGCGCGCCGCAGCGCTTTGAGCTTTGAGGTCCGGATTATAGATCATTCTGGATTATGGGTGTCCGAATTAACAACTTTTGACTCTACTTATCACTATACATATCCTAACAGCGGTTAATGCTTGTTACAATAAAACTAATGATACATGAATATAAATCTTTATGCAAAACATATTTCACTTAGCTATTTTTTATATCAGATCAACAGATGACTGTTTATTAAAGTAAACATATTTAGTACAACAAAGATTCTAATTACAATTCTGATTAACAGTGCAGCTCAGCAATTTATTATTTGCATGTTAAGATATCCGTTATGTCATTTAACATAAGATTTGTAATATTGTCATTTGTTATAATATAATTGCCATATTTCCCGGTGTCTTAGACACATTTTTTCGTTAAAAGTTTCATGTCTAAAAACTAGATGCAACTTTTACAACAATGGTGCTGGTGGCGAATGTTAAACTACAAAATGCAACTTGCCTGTTTCTTTAACACCTTGACTGATACATGCATCACCGATGATTCACAGCGAGCTTACTTTTTTTTTTCAGAGCCATGTGCATCAAATGTGATTCACAAGTTTTGAAGCTAAACTAGTCACCAGGCTTCATAAACATCAGACTTACACATTTAAAATTATTTCTAAATTTTCAAAAAGTTGCCCCATATTCTTAATTTCCAGCTTCCGAGAGCTTTTTTTTTTTTTTTTTTTTTTTTTTTTTTTTTTTTTTTTATGAACTGTGACGATTTTAATATATACTTTGTTGCAGTAACTTTTGAATAATCATTATTTACGTGGAAGTCAAACTAAGTATTGAATTGATTTGTAGGATAATTGGGACAAGAAAACAGAGTTAAAAAAATGGCCTTACAGCGTAGTTTACCCGATTTTCCTGTGGCACTCAACGTGTTAAAAATCTAAAACATCTGAAATTCCATTCGAGACTCGCAACAATTTCTTCCCTACCCCTGTTCATTAACAATGAGGTATGAAGGTTTCAAATGATATCCTTTCTAGTTCTTAAGTAAGAAGCTTCCTCCCCACCCTGAGTGTATACTAAGTCACCTTTAACCTACTTATATGAAACCACAGAAGAATCCTTTTAGGGCAACACTATCTACAAAAAACGTGGACAGGTACAATTCAGCAGGATAATAAAAATCAATCTGTCAACCAATTTTTCATTTTTTTCAATTTCCGAATCAGGCTGCATCCCAAATTTAAGCTGCGTCTTATACCAGCTTACCCTTGTAAATACAGTAAATATATTTTTACATGCAAACAAAAAAATTTTAATTTTGTTATTTACTTATACAGATTTATAATTTATTATTCCCTTTTCTGCTGCAGTGCATTAATGAAGCAGAAAGAATAATTTATGCTAATATGTCTCCTTAAAATCCTTTCAATAGGTTAGAAAATTAGTATTTTTTTAGCTGTGAAACATTCCAGGATAAGCTAAATAAACATCATAGATGCTATGTTTCATTTCATTATACTTGGATGATTTTTACAATTTTGCTAAAACAAAATATTTTGCCTAGATAAAAATTTGGTACTTACGTATTAACGCAACCAGGCCAAAATTCGCATAAATTGTGAAATTTAGCGACCCTACTTACGGCAACCCTACGTGTTATACGTAGTTTTGTAAAAAAGAGCATGTGGAGATTCACAAAATTTTCCTGCATTTTCGTGCAAATTTTTGTAATTTATGAGAAAATAGCAGTGTACATGGATAAAGTGAAGAGTGTGCCCAATGCCATTTTTGTGCAATTCTGGGATGTTTTTTTAAGTAAAAATAAGTCAACGTGTACAGTCAAAAGTCGTTAATTCGGACACCCATAATCCGGAATGATCTATAATCCGGACCTCAAAGCTAAAATCTTTCTGCGCATGCGCCGCGTTGACGCATGCGCATAGGGGTTTTACGCATGCGCGCAAGACATTTACGACTGCGCATATGCGTTTGCGCAAGCGCAGAATACGTTTTCGCGTGCGCGTTTAATGTATAACAGACGGTATAAGCTCTAATTATCTATTTCAGTTAATGTTGATGGTTGCGTTGTTCCTTAATCTTCGAATTGGATCCGGCTTATTATTTTTTGCACACTACTGCAAGAGCAATTTTATGAAAGTAAGCTTGAACTTTCGATTATGTCAAATAGAATTTCCGATGTTGGAGCTCCCAACTGATCTAGAAAACGAAAGTATGTTTCGATGTTCATCAAACAAAAAATGGATAAAGCCATATCCTTTGTTTATCTAACCGTTCCGAAATCTGTTTATCAATTTCACGCTGCTCTGCGCAAGGGGGGGGACATCGCAATGCACAATGAACTGGAAGTTGATCGGTCAGCACTATTGTTATCTTCAGGGCAGATGTTTTTATTTTATTTGGCTTATAATTCTTTACTAAATGTAGTATTTAATCTGGATGTACTCCGTCTTTGATATGATTTAAATCAAATTCCTCGTCATTATAAATATCACGAATACAAATCAAACAGTTTTCTGGTTGCAATTTTCTAATTTCGGCTATGCGTAAGGTATGCTTTACGCACGCGCGCGTTGAAAGAAATGTTTAATAAAGTAAACAAATAAATATTAACTTCTTTTTTTGTAAATTTTGATACCCCTTAGATCATAATTGCTCATTATTTTATAAATTACGGTTTCATATTTTTAATTTTATAATTTCTGCATGCCATCTTACCAGATTTAAACTGATGATCTATAATCCGGAAAAATCGCCGAAAGTCCCGACGAGTCCGGATTAAAGACTTTTGACTGTACATGGTTATGGCAAATACGGTTTTTAATCAGTGCTAAAAGCAATAGCCAAAAGATTTCCGACAAAAAAATAATTCTGCGACTTATTCAAATTCGAAACCGGAAGGGTTTAATTGCCATTTTATATTTTAAAACAAAATAATTTAAAAAACAGTATTAAAAATTATCTGTAATTAATAAATGTACATTTTCTTTCTATTCATACTTTTTTACTCAAACTTACAAATAGCGTCATCCTGGTTGCAATAATACGTAAGTACCAAAAATTTCACAGTGCAGCATATGAAAGCTAGCAGTGACATATAATACATGGATATGTAATAAATAAAATTTTGATTTAATGTTATAAAATACAAATTCCCTAATACAACATTCATACATTTCCTGAAATGCATACAATGAAATACACTGATAAAGTAAATAATATAGAACTTATGTATTATCCTGTCACCCATGAACTGCCGCCAAGTAGGATGTTAGATGAGCGTGATGTAACTTCACATTCATAACGTCTGCACTTTTGATGACGTTGATGTAACCTCAATGGCTAATTTTTGGAATATGGTAACAGGTAGTTTGGCGACATTTTGGTCAGGCGATAAAGGTTACTAGCTAGGACTTTAGCAGCGTACATGAATAAAGTCAAGAGTATGCGCAATGCCATTTTTGTGCAATTCTGGGATTTTTTTTAAGTGAAAATAGATCAACGTGTACATGGATACCGTGTAAGTGCAATGCTTAAAAACGCAGCAAGCAGTTTGCGATTCTGCACTTTCTCCCGATTTCGCACCTAATCTTCGTTCCCGATTTCGCACCTAATCTTCGTCATGATTAAGCACTTTTGTTCCATAAAAGTTCTAGTATAAGTGTAATTCGGCTAGCAGATTGTTGGAAAAAATGTTGAGTTAAAAAAAAAAATAACATGCCTTTACTTCGTGAAAACAAAATGGCATCCAAACAAAAACTAGCAAATTCCTGTAGTAGGGTTGGTCGCTAAATTCGCCAAAAAATCACCAAGTTACCATAATCCAAAGATTAACCACCTCAACTGATTCTCAATAAGCTGCTTTTTGCTTTTATGAACAAGGCTATAAATTAACTATTATTGCTGTATTATTTATTCTCACATTGTTGGGAGAAAATAGGACTAATCTTTGGAATATGGTAACAGGTAGTTTGGCGACATTTTGGTAAGGCGATAAAGTTTACTAGCTAGGACTTTAGCAGTGTACATGGATAAAGTCAAGAGTGTGCGCAATGACCATTTTTTGTGCAATTGGGATGTTTTTTAAGTGAAAATAGGTCGACGTGTACATGGCTACCGTGTATGTGCAATCTTAAAAAGCGGCAAGCAGTTTGTGATTCTGCACTTTCTGCCAATTTCGCACCTAATCTTCGTCATGATTAAGCACTTTTGTTCCATAAAAGTTCTAGCATAAGCGTAATTCGGCTAGCAGATGGTTGGAAATAAAATGTTGAGTAAAAAAAAAAAAATGCCTTTACTTTGTGAAAACAAAATGGCGTCCAAACAAACTAGCAGGTTGCTGTAGCAGGGCTGGTCACCAAATTTTCGACAAAAAAATCGCCAAGTTACCATAATCCAAAGATTAACCGAAAATACTAAAGTTTCTGACCCACCTTCTATTGAACAGCAAGCTGTACATTATTTTCAAAATTATGGGATCTTACTATAAAAAAAGTGTCTATTAGTGGACATGATAAGGTCAACTGGATATGGATGACAAAAACAGTAATAGACTGAAATAAGTACCTGCGGGAAATTTGTACTCATAGCATTCCAAACAGAGCTTCTGGTAAAATTGGACACCCTAAACAATAGAAAATGATGAAAACCTTTTATGAAGAGAAAAAAAAGGGGGGTTGAATACTAATTGTTTATTAAAGAGGCATCATTTCCTTCAGAATTCTACGTAAACAACTCTCATATCTGTAGCAGGATCTTGGCAGACTTTCATGATTTGATGGTAGCTAACTTTCACAGTTGATGGAATAATACATAAGTATTAAAAATACTTAAAGATGAGAAGTTCACATTTCTGGCCAATTCTGTAATGTAAAATGTAATAAGTTACAGTATGTCACAAAAATTGAACCTGAATTAATAACTAATAGGAATAAACAATTATTCTTCCTTGTATTTACAATTCATATTCAGTATATGGATAAGAAACTCAATGATGCAGATATAAATTTGGATTTAAAAAAGAAATAACATTGGGTTGATGTAGATTTTAAATAAAACTCTGATTTAGATTTAAATGCATAGCTATATAAGTTTCTCCTCCCTTTTTAATTTAACATCATTTTAGTACTTAGTGTAATAAGCCTGCAATATCTCATTTTGACTTACCTTGTCACATCACGTGTCTCATTTTGAGTACCTTGTCAAATATATTACAAGAAACTGTAATACTATCAACAGAAGATTTAAGATTTCAATACATATTTTTGAACTTCAATTAATATTTACTATTTTTAAAGACCACAAGTTAAACCATAAAGGAAAAATAATTAAAGTAACAATCTTATAATTCCAGTTATTAAAGAAATACATATCTTCAACAGTGAACAGAATTAATTTCTTGTGACCATTAATGGCTCTTATCAAATGAGTCCATATTGCAATGTCACTGTCCATAATGTATGACTGAACAACTATAATTAAATATGTAAAAATGAAAGGATTTACAATTAAAAGATAAATGTATTGAATAAATGAAAATTTGCCACGATACTGCAGACTAATGCTTATAGGAACATAAAGGATTGTAAACAAAAGAGAAAAGGAAATATTTACTAAAGCTAAGGTAAACATGAAACCTCCTAACATCAGCAAAATTACACACATTTTGTAAGATAACTCTTTGTGTGACAAATTACAGTTTGCATTATAACAGTAGGTTAAAACCAACCACAAAAAACAAAATACAATGTGACAGAAATACAAAGAATCTTCAGTCGAAAGTTGCAAATAATCTTTAACATAATCTATATGCACTGGTATTAAGAGCATTAACGTTCCACAAAACAAATGTAGTGTAAATATGTCACAAGCAACCCAGTAGTTAATATCAGAAAACCGAGGACAAATCTCTTGATTTGAATTGCAATTCTGAATTTTCAAGTATAAATATAAAGCTTTAATCAGCACAGGAATAGCAATCAAGGCAAAAGGAGGCATGTAAAGTCCTATGGAAACATAATTTCGTATACTTGGAAGTAAATAGAAGAAAAACGATTGATGAAATTTTTCCAACAAATTATTAAGACTTCTGACTACACCTTCCAACACACGACCAATCTGTACTAAAGAAATTGCATTATAGTCATGTGACTGATTCTCCATTGACTTCAGAGTTAGAGCTTGAATTCCAAAACGATGAAATAAGCCATGACCACCTGTTGGGAGTCCTGTAGCCTGAATTAATATCATGTGTGCCATAGTTTTGAAATTATGCTTCCAGTTTTTCCATGTTAGTGATTTTGAAGGGTATGAATAGAACTCAGATTGAAATGTAGCCACTACTTGCTCTCTAGTGCACAATTCTACAGCTAAATTAAAAAGATCGAGATTTGGTAGTTGGCCATGTAATCCTTCAATTTTTATATCAATATTGTAGATCTTATCACTGCTGATTTCAAGATTTATAACACCTTGTATGAGTCCGCTAGTTCCTTTTAATTTTTCGCTAATGATATATTCAGATGTTGACAATCCATGATAAGCATCTAACCATGCTTGAAAACCTAACATTTCATGTTCCGTTATTAGAAATATTATGTCCTTACTCCAGTAGGCATGACGTCTAAATGCTGCCGCAAGTTCTAACATTAAAGCTATTGAAGCCAGAGTATCTTTATGAATGCTATCAAAATCACGGTACGGTGTCGAAATAACTAACGCTTCGGTGCTAGCAACTTTCGGCGCACGTAGTATAGCATATAAATTATTACCCTTCGTGATAAACTTTGACCCGAAAGGATACTGAACAGAGAAGTTATTCTGATATACGTCTAGGCCTATCTGACGAAACTGAGCTTGTATCCAAGCAGAAGGCATAGTTGATGGATGAGACTTGGCTTCATCTTTTAAACTTTCCAGAAGTCGTTTCAGAGATGACCTGGGATTAAATTCCCTAACCACTAGTCCCGGAAGTAATGCATTTTCTGAAAAATACGTTTTGTTATTGAAAACGTCAGACGCTAAAAGGCTAAACCACACTAGCCCGCATAGGAAACTCAATATTATTAATTTCTGCGAATGCTGAATTAAAAGAGCACTCATTTTCTTTCTATTTTTTGTATCGTTCAAAAGACCCATTCTGTAAATTTGCGAATAACTATAAAACCGTCAATTTCTTTACTTAAATGATACAAAAAGAAAACACATAGTAACACATCTCACCGGTTTAAAATCCTGCTTCTGTTTGATTACATTTCCCATAGAAAGAAACAGGACACTAGTTGCCAGATACGTATAATTGTATTCAGTAAAAATAAAACTTCCAAAAATTTTGCATTTAGTTTTAGATGAAATATTTTAAACCTGATATATCTTCTATTAATAATGAGTAATTGTTAAAAAAAAGGTACAACTATTTATGGTTAATTTTTGGTTTGGAAAGTGGTAGAACTGATAATGAAGAAGCAAATCAAAGTACATTTGATAGGTGAAGTAAAACGCTTTTCGATACTTCCGCAAATTTCTAGCCAAAAAAAAAAAAAAAGTGTAGATTCTTTTCTGAATGTCATAACAAACCTTAGTCGTTCGTCATAGCCATTTAACTTAGTATTGAATTCTGCTCTTTAATTTATAAATTAGATTACAATATAATTAAATTTAATTAAATATATAAACGATAATATAAAAGCTAATAATAAGTTTTGCTTTGTTTAAAATTTATTAAACCTAATTTTCTTTCGCATAAAAAACTTGCATATGTATTAAAGAGTGTTTAAGGCGAGAATTTTGAATATTTTAGCTGTTTAAAAAACGTCAGTGCAGGAGTCCCCCCCCCAGAGATCTCGTCTTGCACCTATTCTATTACTTCCTTACCTTTAAAATATCTAATAATAAATTAACAATGTTCCTTTAACTCTCTTCTTCATGCTAAAAATAACAAATCAATAACTTTTCTAACATAATCTTTACTACTTATAATTCTGAAAAAGATCGGTCATCTAATCTCTATCGCCCAATTACTAATGAAATCTTAACCCAGCATTAGGATATTCATCTGTTATGTGATCCGAAATGTAATCTGGCATAAAAGTTCTTTGCTTTGCAGTCAAATGATATAAATTTTGTGCATTTTGAATTATAATATGCATATGATTTTTGTGCATTCTGAGTTATAATATGGTGCATTCTGAGTTATAATATGATGACTGTTCATCTTGATTTTTGGTAAATATCATTTTTGCTTGTTCTCCTCGATATGGCCAGTAATAGCGAACCACCAAATAAAGGCAAAATTCCTTGGCATGCTACTTTCAGCGATTATGATAGCGATAATGATTCTACTTATTCGAATTATTCAAGAAAATCGACTACGTCCAAAGAGATGCCTGTAATTGCTTCAGATGACCCGGCACTTCAAAGTATACTAATTTCTACTAAGAAAAGTAAATCCCAGAGAAAAGAAAAGAAAACAGCAGGAAGTCCTAAGAAAATAGCCGGTAATACTAAGAAATTCAAACCCTCCCCTTCAAATTTTGAAGCAGTAGTTAACAAACGCAGAAAATTTTTCGTAATTTAACAGAAGCTACCTCGCAAAAATATTTTAATACTCAGTTTCCGACTAACCCAAAAGATCTCTCACTCAAATTAGAAAACGAAATCGCCAATAAATTAAACTGTATTGAGTCTATGAAAACATTAACCTCCCTACCAGCGATAGAAATGCATTCAAAGTTACAAGAAGAAATTCAACAAAATCAGTTCATTTTAGCAAGCATTCAGAACACCCCGAAGCTCTCAAATTCTAAAACAGATGATAAAACAATAAATCAGAAGGATTGGCACACTCCAAAGAAAACCGCGAAAAATTCCGAGTCTATCCCACCAGCAGCTATTCCGCAAAATAACAGATTTGAAACTCTTAACGAAAATAAACGAAGATATGGAAGTTACAGATGAAACGCAGAATAAAGCAGAAAATAAAACGAAAATTTCCCCATTAGTCATTCTAGTAAACGATGTTGATTGGCCTGAAATTCACAAAATGCTCACAGAGATATGTAAAAACGAATGTGAAGTTACAATCAAAGCCAGACAGATTTTCCTTTACACTACCACCGAAGCCGATTATAAAGCTACAGTTGATAAATTCAAGAAAGCACAGATTAGTTTTCATACGTACCAAATTTCCTCAGCCTCTTCAATTAAAGTTATACTTAAGAATATCCCAAGATCCTACACAGAACAAGCAATTCACGCAGACTTAGAACGCAGAAGCTTCCCTATAATTAAAGTAAAGCAATTCACGAAGAAAGCAGAAGACCAAATTATCCATTTACCTATATTTTTCCTTGAACTAAAAAGAAATTCTGCAGGAGTGAAAATTCGTCAATTAAACAATATGTTCGGATTCAATATCACAATAGAAAAATATCAGCCCAGAAAACGCCTAATTCAATATTTCAATTGCCAGGAGTTCGGGTACTTTCAAAATAACTGCTTTAAAAAGGTCAGGTGCTGCAAGTGCGGACAAAATCACAGATCCAATACCTGTAAATTAAAACCAGATGAAAAACCAACTTGCATTTACTGTCACAAAAATCACGTTTCTTCTTATCGTGGTTGTAAGGTATACAGAAAAGGATTCAATCATTTAGAAAAGATAGAAAACCACAAGAAATTCCCACTAAAGATGACTTCCCCGAATTTATTCAAGTTTCAGGCCAAACTAATCAAGAAATGCCTAAAAACCTTTACAGTGACAAAGTTAAGAAGAAAAAACCGCAGGAAAGTTTAGCAGAAATCATTAACATTTTCAAAGATCAGAAAACCGTTTTTCTCATGAAATCAATTACCACAATAGTTCAGAGGATTAAATCAGCTAAATCAAATATGCAGAAACTTTGCCTAGCTTTTCAAGCCATTGAGATGATTCTGAACTTTGCAGATAAAGATTAATTCGCAGCTTCTCTCAAGACAAGCATAGCCGAGCAGCAGAAATTCTCAAGTTGCAGATCCTCACATCGTGGGGCCACGTTTACTTTTCTTCTAGAGACTCTGCACTAGGTGCAAAAAGTACGTTCCATCTTACTGGATTCAACTCATGATTAAAGACACCCTACTTATAATATATTGGTAAAGGCCGCACTAAGCCGATTGCCTCTTAATTGTATTATGACATAGACATAGTCTCTTTCTCTTTTGTTTCGACTGTTCTTCCTGATCTTTCTTAGGTTCGCTTCTCTCTTTATGATCTCTTTTTCATTCTCTCTTTATATAAGGAAATGTACACTGTTTTGTGTGATATGAAAGCGGTCATCAATTGTCGACCCTTAACGTACTTATCCGAAGATGCACAAGATTTAATGCCGTTAACACCTTCCATGTTTCTTCAAGATAATAAGACAATAGGAGTACCAGACTTACATAACTTGGACTGTATTAATTTGATCAAAATGTACCGGTATCAAAAAAAAGCTACGGCAAGATTTAAGAAGAAGATTTAGGGGAGGATATTTAGGTCTTTTAATTCAGCAGAATTTCAGTAAGGGCAGTCTGAAACAGATAAGTGTCGGTGAAGTTGTTCTGGTTGGATGTGATAATAAAAAACGAATATTCTGACCTTTGGGTATAGTCACAAAGGTCTTTTCTGGAAGGGAAACCATGCGAGAGTAGTAAAAGTAAAAACAGAAGCAGGAGAACTCATACGCCCTGTCCAGCGGTTATACCCTTTAGAGATTACTAATCCGAACATTTTACTTAGAGCTAAAGAACTTGAACGAAATTTCGTATCAACTGTTTCTCATAAAAGGAACATTTCTCATAAATCTAAAAATGTTAAGAGGAACAGTGACTTAAGAGAGAAGGAACTGATTTTGAGCTAAAAACTAGATGTGGCAGAAAAATTGTCAAACCTTCTCGTTATAAGTGAATTTTTTAAGTATATGTTCTGTATTTTTATTTAATTATATTGTAGGTATATTGAGTACTATGCAAGTCTATTGAGTAGAAAGTTTAAATTTTTATTCTTAGTTAATGTTTTGATATTCGTAGACCATTTTAAGAAAATCAAAAGGTGGCAGTATGTTGTGACCTCCATGATTTATATTTGTTAACGATATTCAACATCCGTTGTGTTCCTTTTTAGGCAGATTTGTTTTTGTAGTTTGGCAACAGTAAGGAAGATTCATTCGTTATCATTCGTTAGTTCGCCCCAAATTCATATTATTGAATCGAATTCTTTATTCTATTGCATAAAAGCAAAAACATTTCATGTACACCGATCCCGTGAATTCGTGAAATATTGCAAAGATGCCCGCACCTTTATGCAAGTAGCCAAATTTAAGATCTGTTTGTCAAATTTAAGATCTTCACGATGATATCCCGCTAGCCTTAATGAGAGCTGTTTTCTTTATGATACCGAACTTCATGAGAGTACCGGCACATGTTGTTTAGTCTCATCACATGGTACTTACGTGGTTTTACCTCATATTTTGAAAAAGAAAAGTATAAATGAATAAAATAAAAAAAGGGGAAAAAATCTGAAAGCTGTCAGATTTATATTACACCCTAAGGTTCGAAGAGGTATGGCGAGATGAAAGTGCCCTCCCAAGAGTGTTCCAGACATGCTCACATGACTGAAGATCTGATTTGCCAATCTATATGACGAATATTCTCAATTTCCATGTAATCGTCGACCAACCTAGCCCTAAGTGAATTAGTGTTGTCGTCCATTTATTGCTTATATATTGTACTGTACTCATTTATTGTTCACGTTGTGGATGCCTATTGTATCCATCTAGCTATAACTCTGCAAATGTGTAATTGAAATCGTTCTTCTCACCCGCAATGCACTGTTCTTCCATCACTGCACTATCGTCTCGCCCAGCATTTGTTTGAACCGCCCCCAGCACTCGTCTTGAGCACAATATGTACCAAAATGTGCTATGTGGACCAAGTTAATTCCGTCAGCTGGACTATCTGGCCGATATGCTAACTGCTTCAGTGGATCGACTGCCTCGCTGTCGGTGGAAAGAAAGAAAGAAAGTGGCAGCATACAGCTCCTGTGATAGCTGTGAAACTGTAGCAATTCTGTGTCACTTTGGCGAAAGTGCCATAGAACGATCTTTCTTTGTCGTTGTGGTTCTTTGTCAACCTTTTTCAGCCCTTCTCGATATGGACCCAGTGTCCTGAAACTCTTTTCACAAACTGCAAATGAC